GAGGTGGACAAAGTACTGGAATACTTGCTTTTAAAAATATAAATACTTAAAAGTCCATATTTTACATTTTTCCTGTGTTTTATTTTAAAGTATTGATCTGTGAGAAGATGTATTTGTGGTTTTAGTTTTACATCTCCTCTCTCAGGCTTCTCTCTGGAGCTCTAGTAACAACAGGTCGGTGAGCCAATCAGAAGAGAGGAGGCTCTGAGCCTTTTGATTGGCTTAATATCTAGTATGTGATCTTGGCACACAGGAAAGTTCAACATCCAGTACAGCGGCTCTCGAAGGGACAGAGGAGGATTGGAGTTAGTGTCAGTGTGGTGATAGCAGCTGGTCTTTAACACAGCCTGTAGTTTATGTTCGACCCTCGTGAGTCGGCTCCCACTTCTCTGATGACGGGATCTCACACAGCCACACATCAAATCCTCATCTCTCATCCAGCATCATCTGAGAGGAACATTCAAGTCGTTCAAGCATGTGCTCATCCCGCCTGAAATCGACCTTCTCTAATGGATAAAAAGAGGATAAAAAAGAAATAAAAACAAGCAGCCTTTGTGGCGCTGCCAGCCCCTGAGGAACACCAGGAAGTGTAATCAGCAATGACCCATGCTAGACTCCACCAATCCCAGGGAGTTCGTTAACATACCCAGCCTGCCCCCAGGGTGGGTATGTTAACGGCGGAACAAGCACTTGATAACTGCGAATGAATTATGAAATCCCGGACGTGTGCCGGCTCCTTCCACGAATCGCCACAGTCCCCCCCCCCCGAGTCAGCAGCACCGTTCACACTGGCTTGTTTTGTTTTCCTCTCGGACGTGTGCTTGCACAGCGAATCCTGAGGAAAAAAAAAAAAACAGACCGCTTTAAATAAACATGTATGGAAAATGTCAGCGCAGATTGGGAGCAGGCCACCTGTGTAGATGCATGACAAACTTAAACAGAAACGCAGCGAGGGACCCGACGTGGGAAAACAAGCTGTCGGTGGGTTCACGATTGGAACCTCGGGTCCGAGGTGCTAAGATTGTTTGGTATAAATCACCGAGGGAACCTGGTGAGCGTGCACACGTAGCCTGTAAGTCCATTTCAACATCCATTAGCATCCAGCCTGAGTGGAAATAAAGCGTGTTCGCACTTTTCTTGAAAGACACGAGTGAGAGACGGCTGTGATTCCTCGTGAGAGAGGCCGGATTTCACAGCGCCTCTGCGATGTGCTTGTGTAATCACCGTGAGTCAGCGTCTTCTTTATTTTCTTTTTTAACCAGGGTGATCATGTTTGGAGTAACTCTTACATCACTTTCTAAACTTTTCTACTGTTACTGGAGAGGAGGAGACGTTCGCGCTCAGCTGGGTGGAATAATGGAAGATCGGGTGGTTGACGGAAAATCAATGAGCAATTATTTTGATAATCAATTATTGTTTCTGTCAAAATATCCCAGATTCTAAGCTCTTATTTATGAGAATCTGCTGCTTTTCTTCATCATATATGATGGTCAACATAGTTTATTGAATATATTCAGGTTCTGGACTGATGATCGGACAAAACAAATATTCAAAAAAACAATAATTAGATTATTGAATAATGATTTCTTTTTTTGCCTCTTGGAAAAAGTTGTGTAACATGTTAACAAAGAATCTTTTAAACATGGAGCAGCATTAGCATTCCTGTTGACTTGTGTTTCTAACCCTGACAGATGAAAAGTCCGACTTTCCACTCTGAGGAAAATATTTGTCTCTTCAGCTGCTAAATGCTCTCACTGTGTGTGTGTGTGTGTGTGTGTGTGTGTGTGTGTGTGTGTGTGTGTGTGTGTGTGTGTCTGCTGTTTGGTGCTGGGTCCCTTTACAGAGTCTGAAAAATCTGCATTGTTAAAGAAACAAATAGAAAACTCAAATAATCTTACAGCGTGTTTTTGTCAAGTTTTTTTGGGCCACTTGGGGGAACAAAACAAAGTGCACAACACAACAGTGATTTATGATCCAGGTGTTTCAGTGAACATCCAGCAAACACACAACAACAACAACAACAACAACAACAACAATATTCATTCGAGTTGTTGTTTTTTTTTTTGTCCGTGTGGCAAAAGCGACTGCGACGTTCTCTCTCCTTTCAGATCCTAAAATGGAAATTCAAGCCAATATAAATCCAATATAAATCCAAAATAAAGCCAATGTAAATTCAAAAAAATGTATGATTGAGTTTTTGGTCTCAGACGAACAGTTTGCAGAACTATTCTTCAGGGTTAGACGTGAGAACAATTTTCTTTTCTTTTCTTTTCTTTTCTTTTGGTGGCTAGCTTAAATTGATTGAAAGGATGTAGGGAAGCATATATAAGCATTGTGCTTCTGCCTGAGTCTGTTCAGTCACTACTAACACACTTTGTTGTTACTGTCTGTATTGCCTATATTTAATGAGTGAATGCTCAACCTAAACAAAGAGCTACTGGAGGACAGTTACCAGGATAATCAGCTCCATAGAGTTGAGGGGTTGGGTGATAATTCTCTGTATGAGAAACATATTTTATAACGTGTAAAAAATATTGATGAGTGCAGCTTTAAGAACTGATATGACTCGTGCATATGGTTTTTGTCTGCTCAACAAAGCACCAACACAAGTTGTTCAGCTTCCAACTAACTGACAAAAACCCTGTCACCTCCGGTTTTGAGTTGAGACTGAGAAGTGAGACAGAACGGCTCCATCCTCTTTAGTTATTCAGCAATCCCCTGCATATCTATGAACCTCTTTATTCTTTGCACCAAAGGGCTTCTTGGGTGATTCTTTGATAAGTGAATAACTCTCAAAAAAAGCAGCACAAAACACAGGAACCAGCCGGGTCTGGAGGAATACGGTGCAGGCAAAACGCATCCCTGTCTGTCTGGAACACAGGAACATATAGTCAACTTTGTATAATGCATACAGTGCAGCAAGACAACCTGTCGAAACACAGTCTATTTGTCACAACAGCTTCGGCACAAGGTGATGGAGGTTCGCAGACTCCCCGAGGGCGACGCACCCAACAGCCACCGTGTCCGTGCACGGCCAAGCTGCTTTTTTTTCTGTTTAACATCCAGCCAGAGTCTGTTAGTTATAAATCATGAGTGAGTTCAGGAGGCAAATCCCCATCTCCGATGCAGATACATCTGAAATGCATTGTTATGCTTGGCGTCAGTCTCAGCTGAACAGAACACGGAGAAGTCCGGGTACAAGTTTCCAAAGTCTGAACCAGGAGCTGACGCAGCGGTGTAACTTTCACAGCACCAGCAGCGATAATAAAGCGGCTCCTCGTCTCTGGACCCTTCCACATTCAGAACCGCACCATCATCCTGCCGCCACTACTGTTGAGGGGTTTGGATGTGACGTCCCCGCCCCCCCCTTCTGGTAGCTGACACAAACAGTCCCATTCAGTTTGCAGTAAATTTGTCTTAATTAAATGTGTCATTATTTTTATTCGGGACATTCACGGAGCTCCCGTAACGAACCGTCTGAAAAACAACACAGCACATAAAAGCCGCGGTAACTCTGCTTTATAGTAGTCTGGTGGCTTATTGTGTCAGCGTCGTGTTTCTGTGCCCAAACAGCATTGTTTATAACTCTGTTTCTAGACTCAGCTGGTAAATATCTCCAGACACTCGGTGCTCCTTTTGGTTCATGTTTGTTTTTACAAAATATGAATTCCCAGATGCGAGCCAGACTGCAGAGCTCAGACCGTCGTGGGTTTGACTATCTGTCCATCAGACTCGCTCATTAGCAAAGTAAACTTTACCTTGAAAATGACATCTTCATAGTTACTCTACCCACAGCCGTTCCTTTCCTGTTCCATCAGCAGATATTCCTCAAATCATGACTCAAGAAAGCGTTTGTTTTCCTGAGGTTCATACGTTCATACGTTCATACGAGGCGTCTTCTGACCGGGTGTTAATAGCTGCCGCACTCGAAGCCTGAACTTCAGTCTCTCTTTAAAGGCGTCCGAGAGGGTGATTCATTTGTTTTTTTTAACAGACAGAAATTGACGGGAGTGGTCATGTGAAGAATTTCAAAAACACACACACACACACACACACCTGGTCAGTCCTATCAGCAAACGCAGCTCTCTCTATTCTGTCACTGGAAAGGTGAACGTGAGGAGCTTTCAGAGGCTCTTCCTCCAAACACACACATAAAACGTCACTGTTCTTTCCATATTAACGCTCAACAATCACTTGAATCATATTCTGTTTAGTAGTTTTCACCTTTCAGTACGAAGAACATTGAGTTTTACTGTTTCATCTTTCACTGAATCCATTTTTTCCTTCCCGATACGTCGGCTTGACGTGAGCAAATACACCGATGACGTGGAATCTTTTCTTTTATTGACCGTCAATCATTTAAAAAAAATCAAAAAATTAGTGGATTTTTACAGAAAAACAATCAGTGGAGGTGACTTGATGTTTATCAGCCATGAGCAGCGTCTGCAGGCTGAAGCACCTGTGCCGCCTGAGAGGCAAAACCCAGGGTAAAAAAAAAATATCCTCCAATCATCTTATTTAAAACTGAACTGCCTTATTGCTGAAAAGTGTTGTACTAATAAACTAAGTCGTCACACAGACATTAATAATGCTCTATAATGGATCCGTCCAAACCCCCCCTTGTAATAACCCCCCCCCCCCGCTGTGCTGCTTTCTTCTGCTCACTGCTCACCTGGAAATTAGCGCCCCTAAAAGTTGCTGCAGAATCAGTGAGAGACTCATTCAGAGCGCCTGGAATAGTCACTAGAATAGATGTTCATTTCCCTTTATTACTTTTCACATGAGAGCTGTGTAACGTGAGCACAGTCCATAACTGCAGCGAGCGTCTCCTCTGCAGCAGATGTGCATTACACACCGTGGTCCACAGCTCCCACACTACAGCTTTGTCATTGTCAGTCTGGGGTTTTTTTTGGGGGGGGGGGGGGGGGATTTTCGCGCCGCCGGGCCACCGAGGCGGGTGCGGTCATAAACCTCAACTGTGACACATATTTGAAACCTACCTCGGAGAAGATCCGGGGTCGGGTGTGGCCAATTGTAGGTCCTGATTAGCTGCCAGTCAAAGTCATCGTCTTGGCCCTGGCGGTACTCACACAAGCCAGGGTCTGAGTCCTCATCAAAGGTACAGCCAGCTGCAGAGAGGAGAGAGCAAACCTCATGAATAGCAAAAAAAAAAAAACTTCCAGCTACTGTCAAACTTTCTTTGCTTACACGCTACCAGGAGAGAAGTGTGGAAGGAATGCTTCACAGACCCTATTAGAGAAACACCGGCGAGATGAGTCCTCGGTTACATCACCACGGGGCTCACTGTAAATGTGTTAATACGTCAAACTCCTGAAGAATCTCTGCAGCCATAAACGAAAATTACAGCTAATGGTTGGCACTGGGTGGTCAGCGTGGACTGCCTATCTCATCTGTTCCCTCAAAAATCTACTGCCATTTGGTGCAATTAGCCCTGTGGTGTGAAAATGACACAGCAGCCACGGGTCACCCAGATAGCCAGAAATAATGGGCAGCAGTGCCAGAGCAGCGGATGGAGGAGGAGGGGTGGGGGGGTTCTCCATCTGATGGAGGACAACAACAGCCTGGCTCTCAGCCTGTGAAGGTGACCCAACCCTGTCTGGCCACTAATGGTTGCATTCACTATTCTACCATTATCGCACAAACCACAGGCTTTTAAAGCCACTAACTCGGTTGTCAAACTAGGATGGGGGGGTGGGGGGTGGGGGGGGGTGTTTTTGTTTTAATTGGTCAGAAAACACAGGTGCAGTTTAGAAAAATCTAAAATTGAATAGTCTGGACTTGGGAGGACCGGTCTGTGGTCGTGCACGGGTGCGAGCCATATGCTTCACTTCATCCACAGAGCGACGTTTCCCATCGATACAGATGGTTTGGACAACTGTCTGTCACAGCTATCGTGCTCCTCATTGATTAATCTATCAATCATTGGGTCTTTGAAATGACAGAAAATAGAGAAAAGTGCCCATCGGTTTCCCACAGCCCCCTTCAAATGCTCAAATTGCTCGCCTTGTCAGACAACAGTCCAAACCGCAAGATATTGATTTCACGATGATATAAAACAGAGGGAAAGCAGATGTGTCGCTGCAGCGAGCAAACGTTTGCTTGAAGGCTGATTAATTGATTCATAACTGATGAATCACTTGAAAGGAAAAGGTGTGTTTTTATTTCACAGATTGGAACTTCGGGTCGACGGTTATGAAAACATCGTTTTGAAGATCTGAGGAGGAGAACACGACCTCTGAGAAAATCTGTGAGGCCAAGTTAAAAACTGAATAGACAGCAGATATTTTTCACATGTCAAACACAGGTGTAACTGATAATAGCAATAATTAAGGCAATGCAATAATTACTGGGGCCAGGGTGTCAGTAATGTTGTTAGTTCCACCTGTGATTTTCCTGCTAATATTCAAACGTCTGTCAGTCCGACTAATTTGGGAACGATAAAGACACGAGAGCGGATCTGCTGCTGTGAGGAAATCAAGATTCAGGTCAGCGAGATTTATACAGAACCGACAAGATGGGCAGAAATTTGACAGGGACAAAAAGAGGAACAGAGGATGCTCATTGATCAAAGGGTTAGGGTGACATTTCAGTGTCATTTAAAAATACAGAGAGCTCACTTGAAGCTTTCCAAAAGGGAAACCACAGAGACTACAGCCACTGTTAGGAACACGGTGGCACAGCTAAAAATACAGCACCAGTCAAAGGTCTGGACACACTCTCCCATTCCCAAACTACAACTGGTACTGTATGTCCAACGGGGAAATAACCAGTAACAGTGAGATTACCACGGGTTAGCCACATATCATAGCATCCCCGCTGGTTTGCAAAAAACTCTGCACAAGCAGGAAAAGTGAGAATTAATGTGACGAGTGCTTCCACAGAACCAAATGAGTCTCCTGAGGTTCAGAAGAAAGTGCGCCTCGTACAGATCCACCCGCCCAGAGAGCAGCAATGGGACCGGCTGCTGGTGGAATAATGGAGCGGGATGCAGGGGGGAACCGCTCGTTTATAAGACCCAGATGCAGTGCATCACGGGGTTTTGACACCAATCCGCTTAACTGGCCGTCGCTCGGTCTGGTCCGGCCCCGGATCGGAAGACGTTCTTCTGTCTAACTCTAAACGCCCTGAGCCCGCTGTGGTCCCAGGACCCTCTTCACTAACAGATTGTATTAAGGCTTGGCAGCAGTGCTGCTGGTGTTAAAGAGCTACTCTGACTCCGTGCCAGTTTCTACTTAATAGTATCCCATTTGGCCAACTCCCCCAATGTTGCTTTTTGTGTTTTGTTTAGAGGCTCCATCTGCTTTCTTTGTTAATGTATAACTTTCCAGTCTGAAGAAATATTGCATGTGACAATGAGCAACTAAGACTGCTAATTTTGGACCACCGCTTTCGTTGTTCCTGCTGACAAACAAATATCAACCGCCCCAACCACCAGTCAACCCCTCCCCACCGCCCCGTCCCTCTTCCCCCTCTGCCCGCAGCCATGCGAGCGTTTCCGGGTGCGTAAGCAGATCAGAGCTTTAATTGCCTCCTGTGTGAGGGCTGCTTGTCGTGCAGCTCCGTGCCCGGTTATCTGAGGATGAGAGGGCTGAGTGGTGGAGCAGGGCCCGCGGTGAAGGCCTGCCTTTCATCGAGAGCCCTCCAGCTCCAGGAAGAAATGTCACCATCAGACACGTTCCACTGATTCCCCTCATTAAGACTCATCCTTCCCAGCCTCCTTTGCTTTTAGCGCGCACGTTCCTCTCAGTGCCCAAATGAGCTTCTCTGGCAGCAGGAGGGCAAGCCCATGTAATTAGAAAAGCCACATGCATTCTGCTGAATTCTTACTGATGTGTGTGCATTTCTTCAAATGTGTGTATATGAAGTGTGTGTGTGTGTGTGTGTGTGTGTGTGTGTGGGGGGCTCGCTGAGGTTGTTTGCTGTTTTGATGTTTACTTAAAAACGAATAAAATTATAATGAATCCGTCAATGTCACGCAGGCTAAAGCCGTAACGACTGTGGAAATGAATTATTTGTGTTCATCACAGCAACGAGGGAATCTCGGCCAACGTGTGTATACGACGTGGGAACCCGGGATTGCTTGAATTTCCAGACAATAATAACTTGAATGTGAGAGAAAGCGGGTTTTTTTTTTTTTTGGAATGCTAATTGCTTATTAGGGCGATAGCACGGCACCGTTCGGCACAGTCCCCGAGCAATGCGCCACCATGCAGCGCGGCAATAACACCTAGAGCCGCGGACAGCGGGGCCCTGAGATAACTTCAGTGAGCTACTGTCACAGCTGACAAGTTTCTCAGGAGGAGAACAAAGAGGGAGAAATAAATAAATGTGCATGAACGAGGCGCCCTCCTCTTTGAAAGATAGGGGAGGTAATTTGCCAAACAAGACTCAAGCTTGTCGTAAGATACCATGTCTGGAATGTGTTATCTTGTGTTTGGCTTGTTCTTCTGTCTCGACTTCCAACACACACTCAGCTCTTTCTTATGCCTCGCAAAGAAAAAAAAAAAAGACTTAGTGAGACTTATTCTGTTCCCCTGCAGACAAGACTCCCACCTAACGTGTACCTCGCTACTGTTATGCCACAGTTGTATTATCCATATACAACGCCAGATGTTCGTTTTCAAGTCACTTTATTGCTTCAACCTTAAATCAGCTGCTGTGTTTCACCAAATTCCACATAACCAAGCCATGAAGTGTTTTTTTTTTATTACAAATTTTTCTATGAGACTGCAGATCAGAAAAATCCTCTGTGTGGTGAGGGAGGATTTAGCTGCCAAAGCCTGCGAGAGGCGGCAAAGAATCTCATTAACGCAGCTTTGAGTGATGGTTTCAGAGGTTTCCCCCAATGATATGTCTGAGGGGGAAATTCAATAAGAGTCATCTTTCTGACTTTCTTTGGATAAATGGTCAAATTTTAAACAAACAAGGCTGGTTATTACACATATTTTTCTTGCTGTGTAATTACATGACGTAGGCCACCACCAACCACCTCCCAACTCTAACTTCCCTGTAGCAGTGTGTTTATATTTGAACAGGTTTGTGGATTACCTGAAGTAAAAGGGGAAGCTGTTTCTGTTTTTTTTTTTTTAATGAATGAATGAAGCACCAAAAGTAAAATTCCAACCAACTTAAAGAGGCTATTTGTAAGTTTTGCTATTGCTACATAGCTAACGTTAGCATTAACAGCTGTTTACTCACCAGTCAAGAAGAAATGCTGTAAGTTCAGCATCAAACTTTGTTGTTTTACTCACTGACGGCTGTCTCCAGTGGTGGAAAGCAACACCAGCGTTAACTCTTTATCTGTAACGTCGTTTCTTCTACCGAAGTTAGCACGCTAACCAGCTAGCGCCTCTCGTTACTTTCCGATAGCGACTCACTGTAGCCTCCAATCCGCCCTGAAGACGTAGCGCTGCTCAGGCGACGTAATACAACCTCTCGTCTTGCAAACGCAACAGTGACGGAAGCTCTTGTCAAGCGACGATCACCACCACCTGCTCCCGCCGGAGAAAACTTACAAATAGCCACTTCAAAACCTGGAACAAAACTAAAACTATCTACTTGCCTACACGCCACTCGAGGTGAGTGTTTTTGTAATTCGGGTGAACTAACCTCTTCAGAGTTAGATGCCTTCAGTAACCAGTCAGTGCTTTCAGACGGTGTTAATTGAATCCTATTAGCTGTGTTTGTGTCGGGTGAAAGTCAGAAAGTAGCATGAAGAGCGTAACTCTGCTGCACAGAGTGGCTGTGAGGCAGCCAGGAGAGGCCCTGGAGGGAGATTAATGGGAGTAGGTACAGACCAGCCTGAAGTACTTGTGACGGACCCCGGGTGCGACTGTCCAACCTAGCTCGCTTCTACAGTGAACACCACGACCCCTTGACTAATAGCCCGCACAGCAGGCACCTCATAAATACATTGTGATGGAGAGGGAGGAAAACACAAGCCTCTTACATAGCATTTATCCTGGAGAGGGAGAAATAAATTAGAGGGACGAGACAGAAACCGTGGGCGGGGTGAAGAGCCCTCAAACAGAAGAAGGAGAGAGACGGAAGCAAAGCGTGAGAGGGGCGGGGATAATGAGAACAAATCACATGCGGTGGCGGGGCGTGT